CCAAAGGTCTAAATCGGTATAGAGTTAATTGGGAGATTGACCAAGAGCTTGCCTCAGGATCGGACCACGAAATCCTGCTTTATTCTGTTGAAGTGAAAACGCAAGAAATCGCAAACCCCTGGCTAGTTTACCATATAACCTGAAAAAGGCGAATTGGGCGCTATTTAGCGAAAGACTCCTTAAGCTAGACCAAGAATTTAGACAGGGAAGCTTAAATAGTGACATAGAGCTAGAAACTGCAGCTCTAAATCTCCAACAAATAATACAGATGGCTGCAGATACAAGTATTCCAAGAAGAAAACCATCTGCCCAGTCAAAAGCATGGTGGTCAGAGGAACTCAAAAACTGAGAAAACAGCTTGGAAAAGCTAGAAAGCTTTGGAAAAATAACCCTTGTACAGAGCTCTACGAGAATCTTTTAGAGATTAAAAATCAATATTTCCAGGAGATCAAGCAAGCTAAATCAGCATGCTGGAATAAATTCCTGGAAGAAGCTCGGAATAAGGAGATTTTTAAAGCTTTTAGCTATACTAAAAAAGAGATCTATCCAAAACTGCCCATCTTGACCTATTCTGTGGGAAATCAAGAAAAGCAAGCAATCTCTTTTCAAGATAAATGCCATGCATTTCTTTCCACCTTGTTCCAAAACCCCCGGAGGCTGAGCCCATTGAGTGGCCAACCAACCAGGCAGAATCAACCAACTGGCCAGAAACCAGCGAAAATGAAGTATACACTGCTATCTTTAGTAGTTCTACTAAAAGGCCCCGGGACCCGATGACATTTCATTTTTAATTATTCAAAAGGCTTACCAAAACATTGCTCCAAGATTCCACGAGCTTTATAAAGCCTTAATTAAAAATGGTTATCATCCCAGATGCTGGAAAACTGCCAAAGGGGTTATCCTTAAAAATCGGCGTCTGCCAAAAGGGATTACTCCAAGCCAAAGGCCTACAGAGTTATTTCCCTGCTTAACTGCCTAGGCAAGGTAGTAGAGAAGATTATTGCAACTAGGCTATCTTATCTAGCTGAACTCCCGCAATCAATCCTTTACCATGACCAAATGGGGAAGAAAAAGAAAATCAGCAATTGATATAGCACTATCCTTAGTCCACGACATAGAGGTGGCAAAACATGATAAAATGGTTACTACAGCTCTTTTTATAGATGTAAAAGGAGCTTTTCGACCATGTATCCACCAACCAGCTACTTAGAATATGCCTAAAACTAGGTCTTCCACATAACCTGATCCAGTGGATCAAATCCTTTATGTCGGACAGGAAAGTGTTCCTAGCTTTTGACGGCGAAACCAGCAACGAGACCCCAGTGCAAGTAGGGATCCCCAGGGATCACCTATATCACCTATCTTGTTCCTCATATATATTAGAGAGCTCTTTCAGCTTGAAATGTATGAGGAACTAGATAGTGATACAAGGAAAGCCTTTGGAAATACCCGAAAGCCTAGCTATATGGATGATATATGCCTCACTATCAGCTCTAATAGCCTAGAGAATAACTGCAGGCAAATAGAGCTGGTAGCCAACGCCATGTTTAAAAAGGAGCCAAAGACCATATCCAGTTTGACCAGGATAAAATAGAGCTTATTCACTTTAGCTCTAAACAACCAGACCAAGAAAACCAAGACACCCAGGTTAAACTAGATAATAATATTATAGTTAAACCAAGCCCTATGGTAAAATGGCTAGGAATCTACATAGATTCTAAACTCCTTTTAAAGAACACGTGCAAATACGAGTTGCAGCTGCAACTAGGGCATTTCACCAAATAGCGAGGCTCTCAAATACAGAAAAGGGGCTAAGCTTCCAAGCCATAAGACAACTTTATATTGCTTGTGTTTCCTCCATTGCAGATTATGGAGTCCCTTTATGGTGGAAAGGCCAACAGTATTTGGTAGACCACTACCAAAAACTGCAAAACACAGCTCTGAGAAAGATTCTAGGGACTTTTAAAACATCGCCTGTACAGGCCATGGAAATAGAAGCATCCCTACCCCCTCCGTTGGTTAGATTTAATAAAATCTGCAGAAACTATGTACTTAGAACTGCTTATTTTATAAAATCCCATGCAATTCAAAGCAGACTCCCCACCACATTTATACTAAACCCGGGGAATTCTCCATTGACCAATCAAGGTTTTGGATTGGAACGAGAAACCTAGATTACTAGATGCAGAAGACCCTGAATACCACCCTAGAGAGAGAAAAAAGAGAAAATACCCTAGCCAGTTAATCCGACTGCTAGCACTATTCTCCTTTAAGACGTGGAAAGGCACCTTTCAGACGCTAGATCAAACCCTACCGCCCTGGTCCCAACTGTTAAACCAAGTAGTAGATATATCTATATCTAGCAAACCGAAAGAGCAAGCAGCCCAGGAACACAAGACGCTAATATCTCAATGGCTTGCTAATAGGGATAACCACAAAATTATCTTCTATTCAGATGGATCCCAGCTGCAGAGTGGTCAAAACGGAGCAGGAATTTTCCTCCTAGAGAATAATCCTCAAAATCAAAAGGTTTGGGCGTGGAATCTAGGTCATGAATACGAGGTCTACGATGCGGAGTTATTTGCTATCCAAAAGCATTAAAACAAGCATTTAAGGCTATTCAAATTCCAACTTTAGATATCTACATCTTTTCGGACAGTCAAGCAGCCCTAAAAGGCTTCAATCAGCAGACACCAGCTATGAACCATACCAAAGAACCTTTAAATGGGCAACTAGAATTAAGGAAAAGAATATCAATATTCATATCCAATGGGTTCCAGGCCATCAGGGAATTTTTGGTAATGCCAAAGCTGACGAAGCAGCGAAATATGGCGCAGAATGGACAAGTAAATATTACAAATGTCCTATTTCAGTTAGCCATCTCAAACGAGAGCTCCAAGCGAAATGCCTTGAGGATTGGGATAAAGCATGGGAAAATGCTAGGAAAAGTGATCAATATAGGGGCTTTAATTCCATAGCTTCATGGAAACCAAGCCCCCTAAAGCTTCCCAAGCAGACCTGGTCAACCATTATCCAGCTAAAGCTAGGGCATGGGTATTTTAGATCCTATCTAGTTCGAACACCTAACTATGATAGTGATATATGCACATCATGCCGCAGCAACAAGCGCCAAACTCCGCACCACCTACTGTTTCAGTGCCAGGCATTTAGGGATATTAGAAAAGGGTCTATAGAGACCCTAGACAAAAAAAAGACCGAAATCTGCCTTATCTGTTTACAAAGAAAGCAGGGCAAGAGCAACTGGTTAAATTCTTAAAGGAAACCGGGATCGCCACTAGAAAGTGGCTCCTGGATCCCTAAAACAAAAAAAAAAAAAAAAAAAAAAAAAAAAAAACAAAAAAAAAAAAGAAAAACAGCAAAAGAATTGGAATTTCGCATGGTTTAACCCCTTTTATAAGGTCCTCCCCACTCCTAGAATGTCATACTGCTTATTCATGTTTGATTCTACCCACTATGTACGTATCTGTTTGTTAGTTCAAATCCTACCACCCAGGGGTGGTAGGTAGAGCATGCATAGTCTCTGACTGAAAAATGCTCTATAATATGGAAGAATAATAATAATAATAATAATAATAATAGTGGTTATTATCCCAGATGCTGGAAAACTACTAAAGGGTTTATCCTTAAAATCCGCGTCTGCCAAAAGGGACTACTCCAATCCCAAGGCCTACAGAGTTATTTCCCTGCTTAACTGCCTAGGCAAAGCGGTAGAAAAAGATTATTGCAACTAGATTATCTTATCTAGCTAAACTCCTGCAATTAATCCTTTACTATAACTAAATAAAGGGAAGGAAAAAACATCTGTAATAATATAGCACTATCCCTGGTTCATAATATAGAGCTGGTAAACCATAACAAAAGGTTACCACAGCCCTTTTTATTAATATAAAAGGGGCGTTTAACTATGTCTTACTTAATTAGCTACTTTAAGTTTACCTCAAACTAGGCCTTCCACATAGCCTGATCAGGTGGATTAAGTTATTTATGTTCGATAGAAGAGTATTCCTCGTGTTTAATAGTAAAACCAGCAAGGAGACACCAGTCTAGGTAGGGATCCCCAAGGATTACCTATATCACCTATTCTATTCCTTATATATATTAAAGAGCTTTTCCAGCTTGAAATGTATGAGGAACTGGGGGTGATATAAGGGAAGTATTTAAAAATATTTAAAAGCCTAGCTATATAGATAATATATGCCTAACTATTAGCTTTAAATGTCTAGAAAATAACTGCAGGTAAATCGAGCTGGTAGCAAACGCAATATTTAAAAAAAAAAAAGACAACATCTAATTTAACCAGGATAAAATAGAGCTTATTTATTTCAGCTCTAAACAACCTAATCAAAAAAAGGAAGAAGACACCCAAGTTAGACTAGATAATAATATTAAAGTCAAACCAAGCCCGATGGTAAAATAGCTAGGAATCTGCTTAGATTCTAAACTCCTCTTCAAAGAACATGTCTAATTTAAAGTTGTATCTGCAACTCGAACATTTTACCAAATATCGAGGCTTTTAAATATGGAAAGAGGGCTAAGTTTTCAAGCTATAAAACAACTTTATTGCTTGTGTCTCCTCCATTGCAGATTATAAAGTCCCTTTATGGTGGAAGGGCCAACAGTATTTGGTAGACTGTAAGGGGCTAGAGCCCCTCAGCCTACTCGGGCCCTCAGCCCTCGTGTTTCCTTTCTCCTCGCCTGCCACATGATTAGTATATTGATTAGTACACTCTATCATGTGACTTCCCCCCCCTTACTTCGCAATCGTCTCATCGCTGTTTCCTCTTCTCTTTCCTCTTCGACGATTCCTTTTGTATCCACCCTAGTTATTAGGTTATAGAGGTTTAGCCCTTGACATTAGGAATCGTCCTTGTCTGCCTGTCTGCCCGCTCGCCCTGCCCGCTTGTCCGCCCGCTCGCCTGCCTGCCTGCTCGCCCGCCCGCTTGCCTGCCTGTCCGCCAGTCTATGGGAATATCTTTACGATGTCCGACCCGAATCCACTCCTCCTGCTTGTGCAGCAGCTCCAGCAAGAGCTCCAAAACCAGCGCCTTGATATTCAAAACCAGCGTAATGAAATACAGCAACTACGTGCGGACCTTGATGCTTCCCGAACAGATGTCCACCAGCTTCGTACGCAGCTTCTTTCCGTCCAGACACCCAGATCCCGCCTGCCAGATCCGCCTCGCTTTAACGGTAAACCATACACGCTTCGCACATGGCTCCCGTCAATTAAAGCAAAACTTCGATCAGACCAGCTCGTAGGAGCTGATGCTTTGACTATGTATGGGATCGACTAGAACAGTCTCAGCAAGCTTCTGTCCTGCACCTCCGCCAATCTGCCGAAGAAAACCAGCTATGGGATCCTGAAGTTATTTTCTCTTTTTTCAGCGTCTATGCCATAACCCACGGGAACAGCAGGAGGCTATTCAGCGCTTTACTTCTATACAACAGAGGGATGACGAATCGCTTATCGCCTACCTTGCTCGTTTTGAACGACTTTCATATGAAGCCAATGTAAACTCATGGCCAGATATATCACGTGTTACCACGCTACACCGGGGCTACGGCCTAATCTCCGTCGAATACTAGAAGACTCGAATAATTCTCTCTTTGATCTTCCCTATAATGAATATATTGAACTTGTCCAGAGTACCGATCGGCGTACCCGTCCTAGTCCAAAATCAGCCCCGAAACCAGCTTTGACCCCGAATACAGACCCAATGGATACTGATCCGGTCCGAGTCAACTCAGTTAAAATAAACCCCAATCCTGTTCATGTTGGCTCTGTGAGAGTAGCCCGAGCTGCTTCGCCTGTTTTATCTGATTCTTCTCATGAATCCACCACCTCTGACCGCCGCCGTTTCCGACTTGCGAATAATTTATGCCTTTACTGCGGTTCTAATGATCATTGGATCGCAGACTGCGATGCCCGCTCTACTTTGTCTGATACTTCCGAGAAACCTCCGAAAAAGCTTACAGCCCGCGCCAGCAACCCGCCTCGCTATTAGGCCTCCTTCGGAGGCCTTATATAGGAAGGGGGAGTAGTGTAAGGGGCTAGAGCCCCTCAGCCTACTCGGGCCCCTCAGCCCTCGTGTTTCCTTTCTCCTCGCCTGCCACATGATTAGTATATTGATTAGTACACTCTATCATGTGACTTCCCCCCCTTACTTCGCAATCGTCTCATCGCTGTTTCCTCTTCTCTTTCCTCTTCGACGATTCCTTTTGTATCCACCCTAGTTATTAGGTTATAGAGGTTTAGCCCTTGACATAGACCACTACCAGAAACTGCAAAACACAGCGTTAAGAAAGATTCTAGGGATTTTTAAAATAATACCTATACAGGCCATGGAAATAGAAGCATCCCTGCCCCCTTTATTAGTTAGATTTAATAAAATCTGCAAAAACTATGTCCTTAGAACTGCCTATTTTATAAAATCCTATGCAATTCAAAGCAGACTCCTAACTATATTTATACTAAAGCCGGAGAAATTCTCTATTGACCAATCAAGGTTTTGGATTGGAACGAGAAACCTAGATTACTAGATGCAGAAAACCCGGAATACCACCCTAGAAAGAGAAAAAAAGAAAATACCCTAGCTAGTTAATCCGACTGCTAGCACTGTTCTCCTTTAAAAATGGAAAGGCACCTTCCAGACGCTAGATCAAACCCTACTGCCCTGGTCTTAACTGTTAAACCAAATAATAGATATATCTATATCTAGCAAACCGAAAGAGCAAGCAGCCCAGGAACACAAAACACTAATATCTTAATGGCTTGCTAATAAAGATAACCACAAAATTATCCTCTATTCAGATGGATCCCAGTTGCAGAGTGGTTAAAACGGAGCAGGAATCTTCCTCCTAGAGAATAATCCTTAAAATTAAAAGACTTGGGCATGGAATCTAGGTTATGAATACAAGGTCTATAATGCAGAGTTATTTGCTATTTAAAAGTATTAAAACAAGTATTTAAAACTATTTAAATTCCAACTCTAGATATCTACATTTTCTCGGATAGCCAGGCAGCCCTAAAAAGGCTTTAATCAGCAGACAGCAGCTATAAACCACACCAAAGAATTTTTAAATGGGCAACTAGAATCCAGGATAAGAATATTAATATTTATATCTATTAGGTCCCAGGCCATCAGGGAATCTTTGGTAACGCCAAAGCTAACGAAGCAGCGAAATATAGTGCAGAATAGACAAGTAAATATTATAAATGCCCTATTTTAGTTAGCCATCTTAAACGAGAGCTTAAAGCGAAATGCCTGGAGGATTGGGATAAAGTATAGGAAAATGCTAAGAAAAGTGACTAATATAAGGGCTTTAATTCCATAACTTTATAGACACCAAGCCCCCTAAAAAGCTTCCCAAGCGGACCTGGGTATTTTAGATCCTATCTAGTTTAAATACCTAATTATGATAGTGATATATGCACATTGTGCTATAGTAACAAGTACCAAACTCCGCACCACCTACTCTTTTTTAGTGCCAGGCATTCAGGGACATTAGAAAAGGGTCTATCGAGACCCTAGACAAAAAAAGACCGAAATTTGCCTTATCTGTTTACAAAGAAAGCAGGGCAAGAACAACTGGTCAAATTCTTAAAGGAAACCGGGATCGCCACTAGAAAGTGGCTCCTGGATCCCTAAAACAAAAAGGTCAAAAACAATAGGAAATGTTGGAAATCAGGATGCCTAAGGCACCTTCGTATATCCTAGTCCCGCAGCGATGTGATATATTATATTCAGGGGCTAAGGGACATGTAGACATGAGGAAGCGTTTGTCTACGCTCTCTCCCTAGATAGAACAACATACTCACCATGCGATACTAGATCGCACTGATAGTTTCAATATACTATCCAGTCACCGCTATCCTAGCACCTCACGACATAGCTTGTTCCCCGAAATTCTCAACAGGAAAAAAGGAAAAACACAAAAATAGTAAAAAGAATTGGAATTTCACATGGTCTAACCCCTTTTATAAGGTCCCCCCACTCCTAGAATGCCATACTGCTTATTTATGTTTGATTTTACCCACTATGTACGTATCTGTTTCTTAGTTCAAGTCCTACAACCCAGGGGTGGTAGGTAGAGCATGCATAGTCTCTGACTGAAAAATGCTCTATAATATGGTAAAAAAGGCCTTTTCAAGACTATCTAATGGAGTAGATAAAGGATCGGAGGGTATTATTAAATGTTGAGAATCTCGAGGAAGAAGCTATGTCGTGAGGTGCTAGGATAGCGGTGACTGGATAGTATATTGAACTATCAGTGCGATCTAGTATCGCATGGTAAGTATGTTTAACTATCTAGGAGAGGAAGCGAAGATAAATGCTTCCTTATATTTACGTGTCCTTTAGCCCCTTGCGTGCGATATATCAGATCCCTACAGGACTAGGATATACAAAGGTGCCTTAGGCATCCTGATTTCCAACACTCCTACTTAGACTAGTCCTTTGGAATATAATTCGCATGTCTTTATCCAGCGCACTTATTTTCTTTACCTCTTCTCAATTATCTCCCACTGTTAACCAATCCCATCTTGCTGTGATATCGTTCTAGCAGCTCTCGCGGTAGCAGCTTTGTCATGCCGTCTGCAAGCATCTTGCGAGTTTGGATATACTTAGTGGTAATAATATTACGCTCCTTTAGATCGCGCACGAAGTAGTATACAACATTAATATGTTTCGAGCGTTTATTTAATAACAGTTAATTAATAAGTATAATCACAGAGGTATTATCTCTATATATTAGGACAGTACACTGGTTCTTACTAATATACTTTAAATAGCCTATATCTGTTATAAATTATATAATCCACTTGGCTTACTTTTGCACAAAAGGCTAATGTGATATACTTTGCTTTGGTTATTAATATTAATACTGCAGGTTGTTTACAGCTTTACTATAAGATCGGTCTTCCTCCCAGCATGAAAAGCATGCCAGATCTTAATTTTTAATTAGAATAATCTCCTATATAATTAGTATTTAAATAGCCGATAACCTAATTTGCATGCCTAGAACCTGGTCTATAGCGAATCTTTAGGTCGATTATTAATCACAGGTAATATAAAAGGGCTTTTATATCTTAAGCATGCTCTTTGGTTAGCTTGTTTATAAACTAGGCAAGAGCGCTTGTTACATATGCAATATTAGGTCACGAATAGACTATTATAAACATTGTACTGCCAACTCTTTGCTAATAATTTTATTTAGGTGCGAGTTTATTATCTTGTCGTGCTTTTAATAATATCTTGCCACTTGGTATCGGGGCGCGGGTTAGTATAACTGCTTTATAATCTATATTATACTGTCGCAGCATTTACTTAATATATACTAACTAGTCCAGGTAGATTATATACTTTGGACAATCGCGGGTTATATGAATACCAAGGATTTTTGAAATCTCCCTAGATCCTTAATATTAAAGTATTCTATAAATTTTACTTTAAACTTATTAATTTCGCGCATGTTCTTTGCAGCAATAAGTAGGTTATTTATATATCGTCTAATAAGGACACTTGTAGTATAATTATGGAATACACATAGTTTACTTAGGATTAATTTAAATCCTATTTTTTAAGTATTTTTTTAAATATAGGTTGTACCAATCTCGCGCAGCTTGTTTTAAACTATACAAGCTCTGCTTTAACTTAAGTACATGTGTCTATTAAATAGTTTAGCACCAGCTAGTGGATATATATATATTTGCTCTTGCAGTATTACTTTGGTAAAAGTGTTGTTAATATTAACCTAATATATTTTAAGGTCTTTAAGTATAATAATAGCTAGCATAATTTGCAGGGAGTTAATACAAATTATTAGCATAAAGGTTTTTTATAGTTAACTTCTTAAACTTAACTAAAACCTCTTGTAATTAGTTATATTTTAAATTATTTAACTCCCCTATTCAGCGCATACTTAACTGCGAAAACCTATTTTATAGTAACAATATTAGCACCGTTAGGCGCGTGGGTCTCGCAAAAGATACTATTAATAATAAGTAACTAAAATTTTAATTAAATAGCCTTTTTCCACTTGGGTTTATAAACTAGGTTATTAATAGCTTCTTCGTACGTACAAGGGATCGGAATTGGGTTATTAACCTTAGGCACGGTTTTCGTGATGGTTTTGACTAATAGTGCAAAGTGGATTATTTTATTAATTTTATTTTACTACTTCTGCTCCTTTTAGTTTTAACCTTTTTAATTAGCAGAGATTTACACTTTGCACTAATTTATTGTCGGTGTGTTTTTTTTTTTTTTTTAGTTAATATATAAATTTCTAGTATTTTTTTTACATGCTTGCAGGAATTAGCTTTTTATTACTAGCTCCTACTAAGTCTCGACACTTTTAATAGTAATTATTTAATTATTATTATTATTATTATTATTATTATTCTTCCATATTATAGAGCATTTTTCAGTCAGAGACTATGCATGCTCTACCTACCACCCCTGGGTGGTAGGATTTAAACTAACAAACAGATACGTACATAGTGGGTAAAATCAAACATAACTAAGCAATATGACATTCTAGGGGTGGGGGACCTTAAATAAGGAGTTGAAACATGCTAATGTAATTATTTAAGTAATTATAGTTAAAACTCTTAGCCGCTGTCTTGTATTATTTGTTGTCGGCTGGTTCTGGCGAGCTATCCCGCGAAGTTAGTGATATTTTATCCTGCTTCCTTAGTCAACCTACAGGATTCCTATCTGGTAACACAGTGGAGGTAGACTTAATTTGCAGCTTTAAATTAATTATACCACCGGGCGTATCTTTATTAAAGATAACTATTAATACTTAAATAATATAATAGAAGTCTAGCATGTAAATACAGTACTACTTAGTAGTTTTTTATTATATTTAATAAAAATTCCAACTTGTCCGCGATTGGTAAGTTTATTACTACCAGGGACTAATTAAGAATTAGCATGCGAATAATATTTGCTCCCCTAGACCTTTATATATATAATCTTAGGGTGAGATCCTGTTTATAGCTTTT